CTCACATGGACCAGGAAATTGCTCACATTGCCAGGAAAATCAGCGGGATTTGCGTCATGTAGAGATCACCCCATGGCCAATCGCACAGAGGCCCTAGTCCCGCCTTCACGTGGATTTTGGGGGCCCCTTCAAAGGCCACTACTTTCTGGTGGTAGTTGACGCATTCTCAAAGTGGGTGTAGGTTATATCTGTCACCACTCCGTCAGCAGGTGCGACCATTGCAGCATCGCGGCAGATCTTTGCAGCCCGGGGCTGCCGAACATGGTAGTCTCCAATAGTGGGCCCATTTCGCCTGCGCATAGTATCCAGCCTGGCTGATAAATAACGGAATCTGCCGAATGATGGTTCCTCCGTATCACCCTGCTTCAAATGGTGCAGCAGAGCGAGTGGTGCAGACGATTACCGTATAATGCGGAATATAGGTCGAGGCGGAATATAGGTCGACCCCCTTACCTTGACCAGCAAAAAAAAAAAAGAAAAACGCGGAATCGTTCACTGCTTCACTTTAGTCAGTACTCACAGTCCTCCGAGCTGTCGGAGCTCTCCGACGACGACGACTGCTTGTCACTAGCCGCCTCCCACAGCATGTCGTCCTCGGTGCCGTCGAGAGCGTTGCTGATGCAGCACTTCTTGAATGCGCGCACCACCATCTCTTCAGGCAGAGACCTCCATGCCTCGGAGACCCAACCACAAACTGTCGCGAGAGGTGGCCTGCGCAGCCGGCCTGTCGGGGTCCGCGGGTTGTCGCCAGCCATCCATTCGGTGTACAGCGCACGCACACGGTCTTTAAAAGGTTTATTGAGGACGACGTCCAACGGTTGAAGTGTTGATGTCATTCCTCCCGGAATGACGACAAGATCCGTCCTTCCGTCGCGAAGGCTCTCCTTCACCGATGCTGTCAAATGCCCGCGAAATGCATCCAACACGAGCATGTTCCGGCGCTGCAGGAGGGCTCCGGGCCGCCGGTTCCACACTGTGCGGATCCATTCGCGCATTAGGGCCTCGTCCATATACCCCTTCTCGTTGACGCGGACGACGACATCCCGCGGGAAGGCCTCCTTCGGCATCGTCTTCCGCTTGAAGATTATGAAGGGGGGCAACTTTCTGCCGTCGGCCGTGCAGCAAAGCATAACGGTGAAGCGCGAATGCTCGCTACCGGTCGACAAAAGCCTCACCTCTTTTGCCCCGCGTTCACAAACAGTCGTGGACGACGGCATGTCAAACCACACCGGCGTTTCGTCGGCGTTGCCGATCTGGCCTAGCATGTAGCCATGCTGCCGCCGGAGGTTGTTCACATAGAGTTGAAACTCTATCAATTTGTCCTCGTACATCTCCGGCAGCTTCTGGCATATCGACGTGCGCCGTCGAAGCGCAAATCCTTTGCGTCGCATAAAGCGACGGACCCAATAAATGGATCCCTTGAAGTCTTTCTTTGACAGGCCGGCTTCACGGGCGAGCTCGACGGCTTTTGAGCGAATGAGCTCCGCATTCACGGGAAGGGATTTGGCACGGTACTCGCGGACGAAATCCGCCACTTTGTCCTCGAGTTCCGGGTGCACAGCTCGGCGACCGCGAAACGACGTCTTCCTCGCGTTACACACTGACAGTTTGGATTTTTGGTTGCGCCAGTATCTGACGCTTTTCTCGGACACTCCAAACTGCCGCTGTGCCGCCATGTTGCCATTCACTTCCGCGAATTCTATAACTTTTCTTTTAAACGCGGCGGTGAACTGGCGCCGCGTCCCGGTATTCATAGCTGGTCGCAGAGTAAAAGTCGCCACTCTCTACGAACACGAAATGAACAAGAAAAGAAAAATGGCGTCGGCAGAGGCGTCGGCCCATGGAGGCGATGTCGATGCTGATGCCCAAAAAACATGCGACACTCCCTGTTGCCAGACGATCACTTTGTTTATGCCAAGGGCCGGTATATAGGTCGAGGGGTGACTTTTTAGCGAAATTTTTTGGAAAAAATCTCGACCTATATTCCGCACTATACGGTAAGGACAAACTTAAGAAGAGCCAGGTGGGGGGATTTCCTTACGCAGGTCGCCCGCATACTCTTCAAGTATTGGACCACACCTCATGAAGTCATCGGCCGTGCCCCCTGCGAGCTTTTGCTGGGACAGATGGTGAAGACACTGTTGGACATTCTGCATCCAGACCTCCGGTCCACGACGCTCCTCAAACAGCTGATATAGAAGCTGGCTGCTGACAAAGGGTGCCGTCCTGGGCCATTGGCCAAACCCAGAATGCCAGTACTGGCCAAGAATTTCCGTTCTGGCCCACCTTGGTCTGCTAGACAAGTGGTCTCGCCTGTGAGCTACTCCTCCTTGCTCGTACGAATGCAGGATGGAACCACAAGGCACCGACATGCTGACCATGTGAGGGCTAACCGTGGGACTGGGCTTGCATCCGCGGCAGCACCAGTTGCAGCCAGTGAGACAACCGTTTTGCTAGAAACAGGCACCACCAATTGTGTGCCACTAGTTGGGCCACCGGCAAGTTCAGTGCCATCCCTGCCAACCACGGCAGAATCTCAGGAGGAAACGAGAGCGGCTCAGGCAGCACCTAGTGCTACCGCACCTAGTCCCTCAACACCTGTATCCAGGCGGAGCAACCGACGACGAAGGGCACCAGACCGCTTTTCGCCTACCTAAAGCAAAACTGAACCGGCAGGGACTTGTAACTGTTTTTTTTGTGTGCAATAACTGGGGGTGAGGGGTGTAACGAGCATGTGGCGCCCTGCCTGTATTTTCATTACCTCGCCAAGTTTGGCAGGCAACCTTGGTCGTGCTTGGTAAATAAACACTGACGAGCGCTGCTTGGCAATCAGTAGCTGTTACTCCACCATGCGTGTGGTGTCGGCCTTGTCAAAGAGCGGCGTTTCGGCCCTCCCTCTCATCCACCGCCTTTGGGACAGATCGTGAAAAGCACATCTGCATATATAATTGCTGTAGCCGTGAAAAACTCTGAACAACCTTGCCTTTTCAAACTCAAGGTTGCTAGGGTCTTAATTGAAAATTCTCGCATGCGTTTTTTTAAATGTCATCCTAATTAATAAAAGCATGCCTCCTGGTCGGAGCAGCCCAGCCCCAATTCGATTTTAATATGTGCAGCTATAGATCGCTGCCACTCTGGTATCGGAAGGCCTGTGAAATAATCGGCTACCCCTTGTTACACGTCCGCCTCTCGCTTTGTAGGGTCAATAGCTATGGTAGAAAAAAAAAGTTCATCACGGCATCACATTCATTGCTTTGTTTTGAAGAGAGTGGAGGAGGGAAGGCTGCTGCATTACTCGAAGGGCACAGTCGCTGGCGCGGACTATCTTTCGAAGCATAATGGCACTTGCTCGTAAGCTTTCTGTGCTACTAACCTCTGCTTCCTGTTTAGATAACTGACGGCACGAAAATCGCTTTGGCAACTGGAGTGATTCTTTTCCCTTCAGCCAGCGTTCTTTCGAGTAACGCGATATTGGGTCCGAAATGTATATAATTTGTTACGTTCACTTAATGCTCCTAGCAATGAATGTGATATACCAACAAAATGTATTGTTGGACTAAATAATAAGGCTTGACATCATCCATGAGATGCGCTAGCGGCGGTGTTGCCATTTTCAAAGTCTGCACACTCGCAGCACTCGCAAGAACTTGCTGAACGCGCGGTGTTCGATATCCGCGACTTGGGTGACTAGAGACCCCCGGAACATCTCTTGCGCACCGATGTACGTACAGATAGAATCGGGCTTGTCTAGAGCACCGAGCCGTTCACTCCAGATGGCGTTTTCTTGAGAAATGTGAGAGACGCCATAATGATACGAAACATGCATATACTTCGTGTTAGCCCCTTGTGCTTATAATGTAAGCATCTACGAAAGCTTGTAGCTAACGTGAGATGGGAGCCGCGGCCAACAGCAGGCACATGCTCTGCTGCTGTAGAGAAGTGTGATTATATCTTTACAGTATGAACAGCACAAACAATTAAACCTCCAAAATTTTGCAACGATGGTGTGGCCTGCGATCAAGGCTTATATAGCCACTCTGGAAAGCCAAGCACTTTTTGCACAGTCTGTTCGCCTTGAGAGTACAAGGTAGAAGTGTGTACCAGCCGTAAGCAGCACGCACGATCACACCCTTAAAGTCGAAGTACACGCAACGCCCCCCTCACGTTCCTAGCTCGTTCCTTTTCCTTGGAGACGGGCAACGCGTTCCTCTCTGCTTGATTAACAATCGATGGGAGGTCTGGCACGCGGGGTAATGTTACCGCATTCGCATTGCAAAGGAGATGGATCGGCTCTATTTATTCCTGCTTTAGCCGCGTTCGTCGCCCCCGCCCGTGCGCTGTGTCGAGGGAAACACACGATATGCCGAGAGATGTTATCTATTGGGACATTACACAAAGCATGCACATTCAGGAGGATGATTGGCTCCATAAAATTTGCAATGAATTCAAGTAATTTTAGCTCTTTACAAGAGCCTTAAAATAATTTTTCAGGTGCTTGAATGTAAATGCAACTTGCTTCTCCTCCAGAATTTGAAGTTAGCTGCTCCAGATTGCTTTGAAATTGAAAATTTCGGTGCTCTAAAGTAGAAAGTTTCGCTTCTCCAAAATACTTCATATGGAAAGTTTTGCTGCTCCAAAAATTGCTCCAAATCGGAAGACCTCAGTAGATTCACTGTGTTGTGTTTCAGCTCTTGTTTTGGATGAAACAAATGCTCATTGTGGACCTTGTGAGCTGACTGGAATCGGTAAACTAGAAGGTTGAGGCAGTGAAGCTCTTGCTGAACTTAGGACAGAGCAGCTGCCGGCCAAAATGAGCCGAAAGAATAAAGCTTATGTGTGCACCACCTTTCGTTTCTGTGCTAGTAAGTGGATTCGAGCTTCTTTTTATTGCTGAGTTGCTTGTAGAATTTCAGCCATTTATGTTTCTCTTTTTCTGCCTGTTCGCATTTTTTCATCAAGTATGCTCTTGAAACTGTCTATTGAAACTCTTTCTCTGGCAGTGCTGTGACATCGCCATCAACTGGTCGGGTGGGCTACATCATGCAAAGAAGTTTGAGGCATCTGGCTTCTGCTATGTCAATGACATTGTAATTGCCATTCTCGAGTTGCTCAAGTACCACCCACGAGTGCTCTACATAGACATCGACATCCACCACGGGGACGGCGTCCAGGTAAGGCGTGCGCTAGTTCTACAGGTTGTCGCAAATAAGAGCACTGCTGTCAAGAACTTGAGGTACTTTGGTGCGTCGTAATGCAGTGGATATATTTTTAGGGAATCTTATGTTTGAAACAAGTCTGAAGCAAATAGTGATTTTAGCAGAATAATTTTGAAGTGAATTCAAATAGGGTATAATACATGCTATAAAAAAAGGGGACACATTTGTCGGGACCCAACTAACCTGTGCAATATTTTCTTAAAGTTCAAACAACACATGTGAAAATGTTTATGGTTCAATGGAAGTGGAAACAACTCTAAATAGTAACGGGATCTGACTTTTGCACAGAACGCAAGTGATACCTTGTAAAATATGTTGCATTTTAAATATACTATACATGGAGCATATAATCTAGGTTAACAAGGTTTTAAACTTAAAAAATTATGAATTGATGTGAGGGTAATACGTTCATTTAACCTTGGAAAAAAAGTCTTGCGGCAGTGTGGGGTGATTTCTAGGTAGCTGTATTCACAGCTGAGCAAACCTTCACTGCAACAAAACCACATTTACAGAGAGTTACGTTCGAACTAATCTATGTTTGTGTTTTCACTGCTTAGCACTCCTCAACAGCTGTGAAACTATCTTTACAGAAAAGGAGTTACATGCGAAGTAACGTACGCTACTTGGAATATTTTGAAGAGTTTGAATCTGAATTGAAGTGAATTCAAGTACAGTAATATCCGTTCAAATTATGCACAGGCATAATTTTTAGTGCCTCAAACGGCGACTTGAGTTAACAGTGAGTTGTCTGGCAGCAGTTTTGTAGTCATCTGTTATGCGTGGTGCACGTTGTAAGCAGTGATTTCAGCCACATGTAGAGTTCACAAACTTAGTGCGCTTTTTAGACTCGTCAATAGTTACAGTGAGGCTCGCTAATGAAAGCTCTAAAATCTTAGTAAAGTGTTTTATACATGCTTTCTGGCCCTGGCGTGTGGAGATTGTTATAACACAGCATGCCAGGGGAATGAAACACGTCCCTTTGAAGGGTCGCGAAACATTTTAAAATGCTGCCAGTAGGAGTCGAGGTTCCCCGAGAACACGCAAGCCAAACGTCATAGCGTGGTGGTGTGCAGCCTAGAATTTACAATTGGTTCCCAAAGCCTGCTAAAAATTGCTCCCTCGTAGTAGTGACTGTGGGATGCCGCCATGTACCTGTGTGCATGCTCATAAAAGTAAGCCACATGTTTGTGAGAGGTCGTGTCGGCATCTTATCTCTTGTAATCCCCCTCTGTGCGCAGCCGTCAATGTGCCCGCTGCCATGGAAGGACAAAAAGCGCTTAAACTCTGCAACAAATTCAACTAACCGCGCTCGAACTTGATGGATTTTAAAAAGTATTTATAGCATGTGATTTGTCACATGCTACAGTGTGGCTGTTGCAGGGCCATTACAAAGATACATGCCTTTTTGAGTCCTGAAGTGAATTTCAGGCTCGGAGTCCCCCTCAGTTCGGACTTGCCAGAGCAGTAAGTTACCGTATTTACTGACGTAATGAACCCACCTTTCTTCAAAAAAGTTGACGCCAATTTGGGGGAGGGTTCAATACGTGGGAGAAAAAAAAGGCACAGGAATTATAATAGCGAACATTTCGCGTGACAGTTTTACTTTTTTTGGCTCGTGAAATGCACGACGAATCGTTTTTGTAGCCTGAAGCTCTTGTTTTCTGCTGTAACTAATGCACACGAATCGACACCGAACTGTGGTCCAGCCGCTTGATTCCCATGCTTTAGTGCATGCTCGACCAACTTTAGGTTTAAAACCAGCTGTGTAGCTAATGTAATGGCCGAACGCGCCCTGCGCAGCAGGTGTCCCCAACTAAGTTCACTACGACAAGCCGAACAACAAAAACGCAACGTCGGATAACAATGCACAAACATTGTGGGTGATAAAGCTCCTGGCGGGCGACGTGCTGTCACCGCGGTAGGCGCTTTACATGGCCTCCAAGGTGGCGGCTCGTGGCATGTTTCTACACCGCGGGCTCCCCATCTCAAAGGCCATGCATTTGTTTTTGTTTTGTTTTCAGGCTGCTTTGCTTGCGTGGCGCTATAAGCAAAGACGTTTCTCCTGCATTCGACAGATGGTGCTCTACTGCAAAAAGCGCGCTCGCAACTGCATGGTTGTTTATTTATTTTTACTTTTATTGCATCATTGTTTTAGGATATAATAGCTTGATTTAACATTGTTTCGATCGTCAGTGGCACTGGCTATCACACTGTAATAAATTGAACAGATATATTAATTTTTCTTTCTTCAAGGACCAGAGGGGGTGGGGGAGGTGGTTCACTACGCAAGTAAATACGGTATGCCTTTTCCCGGCAGTTTACCTGCTGCCTCGCTAGGTTCCCACCTGCCATTAGTGGTCTGGCGTTGATGGTGCTTGACTGATGACTCACAGGGATCCCAGAGGCAAAAATGCTCATGTACTTGGTGTGCATTTAAGAACCCTATGTTGTAAAAATATCCGGAGCCCTCCACTATTGTCTCTCATAATCATATTGTGGTTTCGGGATGCCCACCAATTATTCTCATTATTGCTGTTCTTGTTATCGATAGGCTTCCTGTGGCAAGCACAGTATTTCTACAATGCCTGCATTCTGACTAGTATGCTGTTGATGGATGTTCTCAACATACCTGTGCACTGGTGTCACACCTGTTTTTTCTTCTTCTTTGCCCACACAACTGACAAGGAAAGTTGATTGATGGGTGCCTCGACACCACCAAGTTGAAGGGAGTTGCTGCTTTGTGTAGATAATTTTGTCCCACCCCTTGACTGAAATGTTAAAGGCACAAAAATAAAAAGGCATCATTACAGTTGGCTGCAGTGACACAAAGCTATGTGTACAAAGTAACTTCATGAATATAACGAAAAGAATTCAGCCAGCTCAAGTGATGTGAATAAAAAAATCATGAGGTACACACATCTCGATTCGGTGGCCATTTTTTTTTCATTGAAGTTGTAGATTTTATTTTTGCTTTTATGAAAAAAAGGTCTTGCCATGAAACCGAATCCCAAAATTAACATGAGCTCTCAGCTTGTGTGATTGCATTGTTCCATTGAGTCTTTGGTGAAACCACTCAAGCGGCACTTGTGATTTCAATATTCTGACACAACCGAGCTTTATTGAGCACAGGTACACTCTACAAAGAAAACAGCAACTGAAAGAGTTGAATGTATAAACTATTTTACAGGGCGGTTTCAGTGCGGCCAAGTTAAGCTTTTAACCTTAGTGTTTTGCACATTTACCAACTAAACGAAGAGTGTTTCAGTGGATGCATGATAGCGGTTGAATTGTTGCATACAATGCTTTCTTAATTCGCACCGCAACATACAGAAACAAGAAAACATGGACTTAACAGCCCTAGGTAAAATAGTCCATGGAAGCTATAGATAGCTGTCAAGCCATTGAGATCTTTGAAAGAGAGCGCCCAATGATTGGTGCCAGCTCCGCCGCTAGGCAGACAGTGGTGAAACAGTGAAGCTGGTGTGGCTGACCAAAAAGTGCTCGCTTTGTCAAGGATATCTGTAGTGGTGTTCACCTCTGCTGTGGCATGGTGGGCCCCGGACATGCTTTGCTTTTAAAAAGGAAAAAAATTCCTGTATCTCCATGGAGTGAGTCGTGACTAGTGGAGGAGTAAGCATGCTTTACCTGAGCATAATGTACATTGAGGCACAGGGAGTCAGTGACAAAGCTATGTTCATCATGTTCAAGTAGTGTTTGTGGTTGTAGGTGTTCTCAATTTTTTAAAATTTTTTCCTCCTTACCTTTTCATACCAAACTGGAAATTAGCTTCTGCTTAACATCCCTGCCTTTCCCCCCCCCTCTCTCTCTCTGTCACATTATTGTTAAACCTTTTTTGTGTGTGTGTCTCAGGTTATCATATGTTGCCCCATATAATGTAGCTGTGACAATGGACACCGGACAGCACCTTAAGGTGCCTTGCCCTAAATATACGCTGTCATCATTGCTTGACTCGGCACAACAGCGTTTATGGGTAGCAGCATTCTCTTGAAGTTCAGTCGCTTGCATTCTGCATGCTCAACTCTCCCATGTCGATGCAAAGTAAGGAATAAATGCTGTACTCAAGGAAATGTTCCTCACTCACAATACCGCATGACCACAGACCTGGCTAGTTTGCATGCCCACACTGCATAGGTCGAATTTCGTTGCACTGGCTTCACTTTGCTGGCCTGCAACATCCACATTGCTCCGATCCCAGTGCAGTCTCACAGGCGCTAATAAGTTGTTCACTAGCACTTTCTTTCAACTTGCTGCGGTAAGGGAAGTGGATGCAATTTGTTACCACTGCACCCAAACTGCTCATCAATGCTGCATTTTTCTTCTGCCGAGTGCCTCAATTGTGCCCAGTTAGGCTGAACATCCAGGAACACTATGGCGCAGTCTGCTGGCACACAGATGCTGTACTGGCCCGCCCAGCACACTACAGTATTAGAGAAAGGAGAGTGACTTCCTCGATAGGGCAAAAACAATCCAGGAAGTCGTTCAAGGAAGAGAAAAAAATTACCAAGTGAGGCTACCCTCATGTGTCACTCGGAGCGACACCCAAACATGCAATATCGAAAATGACAAAGGAGTGATTCTATTCTCAGAAAAGCAGTCATAATGTAGGCCTCATCTACATGTTATGATTACAAAGGGAGTGGTAAGTGCTGAGCGCATCAAAAAGTCAGATATTAAAAAATTGAAGGAGTGCAGTCGCCCATGCCCTTTTTGTTTTCTTTATTTACTGCAGTTGCATTAAGTTCAAACTTCATGCAGGCATTACAATGACAACTGGGACGTTGTGTATGTACGTTAGAAGAGTTCTGACATAAATTATAAATATTTTCATATTGTTGCTCTAAATAAAAACACTGATGTTGAGAATACCCCCAAAAGATAATGCAGTGGCTGGGAATGACTTGAATATATTTCAATACTGCTACATTGAAAATAAGCTTCTGGCTTCAATATAGAGGGGGCGGCTTCACAGTGACGTCTCATGGCAGTGTGACATCACAAGGTGACAGCAACTCCTGTCATACTAGCGGCAGTTCTGTCACCTGCACGTCCTGTGCTTGCACAACAATGAGAAAACTGTCGTCCACCAACCCCAACAGTGATATTCGGGATTTTCGCTGCATGCAGAATTTTCAAACTTTGTCTTGATTCGTCGGGACAACGTCCATTGCAATGGGGCTGGCTCCCTGATGTGGAGTGACTAGTCAAATTAAAATATTTTACAGTTCGTGTTGTCTGACTTTGGCCTGTAGGTAGTATTAACACTGCCTACAAAGAAACGTAAGATGTCCCTTTTGTAATTTCTTGGAATTGTGTCAGTACTCCTTTAAATGGCACTTCTTTATCAATGAGGTGTACAGACAGTGGTCATTTGCATTTATAGCTTCATGTAATAATGGTAGGCTTGTGTGAATAGTTGAATGCTTTGAATATTCAAACGAATAATGCAGTATTTACTTCGAATCGAATTTAAATTATAGCAAGTTTTGACTTATTTTAAACAAGCAAGTAGGTGCATATTATAATCTGCTTGTAACACTTTGTAGAGGTGGTTTTACTGCAGTGAAGGAGTGCTAAGCCGTGAAAACACCTACTCAAGTGTATTAGTTAGCACATAAATGTGCTTTCACTGCAGTGAGGTAGTGCTAAGCATTCAAAAATTTATATTCAAGAGAAATATGCACTGTAGCGAAGCACTGCTTCATGGGTTTTTGTTTTTTTTATTTTCACTTTAAAAGCTTGTTATAGCAAATTTTAAAAACATAGCATATTTTTACTGACTATGACTAGGTTCGCAAGTCAAATCCTGCTACTATTCAAAGTTGCTGCCACTTTCTTTCATGCAAAAAAATGGCCTTTGCACAGGCCTTATCTCAAAAAAAAAAAAAAAATTGGTAGTTTGGTCATGACAAATATGCCCCTTTTCCTTTATAATAGACGATATATATACCTTTCGAATTCAATTCAAATTTATTCCACCGAAATCACTATTCACTTTGAGTTCGCTTCCACCCTAAAATTCACTATTTGCACAAACCTAATTAATGGTGTTAAGCTTCAGTCTTTCTTTCTTAGGCTCAGTCTTTCAAGCGCTTCTCGCTCGTGCCAGGGGTAATCACTTTTTTAAATTGTGGACAATGTCATCATGCAGGAGGCATTCTACCTGACGGATCGGGTGATGACGGTGTCGTTCCACAAGTACGGCAACTACTTCTTTCCGGGAACTGGTGACATGTACGAGCTTGGTGCTGAGAGTGGCCGTTACTACTCGGTCAATGTTCCCCTCAAGGAGGGAATTGACGATGCCAGCTACTTTCAGGCAAGACTTGTCAATTTCCGATTGCACTGTGTGAACAGAGCACCTCAAATTGAGCATAAACTGCTATTTACTACCGTATTTACACGATTCAAAGCACCCCCCCTGTTTTCACTAGAAAAAGTTTGCTTGCGAATCTAAGCACCCCTTCTTTTTTTTTTTTTTTTTCTGCGAGCATGGCTCACCTTGTCACTAACCTTGAAAGCTGCCATGTGGTATGTTGCTAGGTTCAAACAAGAGATGGCAAAAAAAGAATCTGTGGATAATCCAATCCAATCCTCAAGGTCAGACAGGTTGCGCTGGCTTCGCGGTGGCGGAAGGCGTGGGCACGGTTTTCGTCTTGATTGTTTGATAGCCCTGACATCGGTTAAAATGAGGGCAGCAACCCCTGGACGTCTCAGTGAACAAGCCATTCAAGGCCCACCTTCAACAGGAGTTCGAAAAGTGGATCGGGAACCCCGACCGGAAAAAAAAAAAAAAAAATGCCGGTGAAAAAGTAGCAGAACCGTGGCAATGTGAATTTTAGACGCGTGACAACGTATCAAAGTCGACGTTGTCGCAAAGTCATTCAAAAAGTGTTCCAGCACGAACAGCTTGGACGGCACTGAAAAAGATCTGCTGTGGGACACAGAGAGTGACGGACTAGAGTGGCAGTGATAGTGACTGACCTGCTATGAGTGGTGGGTTCACTGTGTGCACCTATTTTCCTTTTTATTGTTTTCGAATTAAAATGCAATTTCTCGTGTAAATCTTGTTTAAATGCTCTTCTAAAAGGGGGTTGAGCGGCGTTGTCATTTTTCAAACTTTCGAATCTAAGGCCCCCCCCTTAACTTTTAATATCGTGATCTGGTAAAAAGGGGGTGCTTAGATTCGAATAAATACAATACTTTAAAACAGACCAGTATAGAAAACAAAAACAAAAAAAACAGCACAATTTCGAAAGGGTTGATGCTCGAAACTGGGACCTATTTTGTGAGCTTTTGTTTAAACGAAGGCATTCAGCTTTCTGTGCCTGCTCTAGTGCACCTGAGAGTATTGAACTTGATGCAAAGACGCAAGGCCACCTACCACAATGGTCTAGTGTTGATGGCACTCGACTGCTGTAGCACAGGTCACGAGATTGACTGCAACAGCTGTATTTTTGGTGGGGGCTAAAGCGCTCGAGGCCACTGTGCTGTGATTTGGTGCTTGTTGAAGAAGACCAGATGGTGGGCATTTCTGGAGCCCTCTACCGCGGCATTTTTCATAATCATACTGTGGTTTAGGGACGTAAGACCTTATGGATTAATGCAAAAATGCAGGGGCTTTTTTTTAAAGGGACACAAAAATCAAATAACAATTTACGCAGTTCATAATGAAATAATTGGAAGCACAAACCAACGGGACACAAGAGAAGAGACAAACAAGCGCAGACTGAAACTCAGTTTATTCAGAGAAGAAATTATATATCAGAAAGACAAGAAAAGGAAAAAAAACTGGAGAGAAGGTTCCACCATGATCAGGTGTCGTCCAGAAACGAGATTTCACAATCTAATAGTGATATAGACGGTGAACTAACACAACTGTCAATATTCTTTTTAATAAAAAAGGCTTCCGCAATCTCTCTAGTTTTCGTGTCATGATGGCTGTATAAGACAAATGTGCACAAAAATTCAGGTACGCAGCCACACTTTTTGCAATGGGCGGACAAATGTAAACCCGTGGCTGAATTCAGCGCAATGTAGTGTTCTCGCAGGCAAACATTCAAGCAGCGCCCAGTCTGCCCAATGTATAACGCAAGACAGTGGAATACAATAAATGACATTAAATTGTCAATTGGTGAAATAATTGATATGCTTGACACCACAACCTTTCTTCACAAGACCTGCCTTCATTCTGCTTTGTAAGTCAATTCTAGAACACATTTGTTGCAGTTTTCCACTTGCGAAAAACACATCGTCGAGGTGTTGAATTTTTTTGCACATTTTTTTATCTTATGCGAAAACTCGTGCACATATCGGACTACTGCAAACTTACGTCATTTATCTGCCTCCTTTAAGGGGCATTCCTTCTCTTTCTTCATACGCAGTACCTTCTGAGCGGCGAAAATGAGGACATTAGACGGAAAGCCTTCCTCTCGCAACCCAATTATTTGATTAGAAAAAACACGTGCCGTTTTGTGGAAACATAATTGCATTACAGCAGAATTGAGAAGGTTAATTGCAATACTCGATTTTACTACTTTGGAATGCGAAGAAGAGTAGTCCAAGATTGGGTTCTTTGAACGGAGAGAGTAGGACCAACATACCTAGGTGTGATCTGCGCGAAAAGATAACTCAAGATCTAGAAACTGCAATACCTTATCATGCAATATCTTATCAATATCAATATCCTATGCATAAAACGTAATCTATGCCCATTTTTTTCAAAGGTTTCAATAACCTTGTCTTGTTTTTTTCCAAGGAAGGTGAATGAACGAGCACAAGGTAATCGTCCACATATCTGAAGACATTAATTACGAGGCTGCTTAGTGCCGTTTGCAAAGCTCTATCAAAATAACTTAAGAATATGTCGCACAAGACCGGTGCTACATGAGAGCCGATACAAATGCCAGACTTTTGCACGTAATACTTATCGCCCCATAATACAAGAGTAGAATTCACATAAAAAAGAGTAGTTCCACGAAGCTCTCAACCGACATCCTACATTTGTTTATGAATGAAAGTTCGTAATTTTCCTGCGTGACGCATTTTTTTACACACTTCATGAGTTCAGGGTGGGGAACCGAGTAAAACAAATAGACAATGTCGATACTAAAACCACTGCTGTTAGACAATTTTTTGGTTGCTAAGAAGTCAACAACCTGGTTTGAACCCTTTCCCAGAAAAGGGTCCTGAAAATTCAAGGCAGACAAGTGAAACTGGAGGAACGTTGAAACTTCATGCTGCCATGTGCTTCGTTCCGTAATAATTGTTCGAAAAGGGATGTCTAGTTTATGGGTTTTTGCTGAAAAAAATGGTTCTAATGTGATTTTTTTCGCTCTTTTCACTGAAGATGCGAGTCGGCACATGTCGCTAGCTTCCAGCAAAGCGATGGCTCGCTTCTTAACTTCAACTGGTTTATCAGAAACTTCTTTAAAGTTTTTCCTAATGGCTGCAGACGCCTTTGAAGCATATTGTTCTTGAGAGAGAGAACAACATAACATCCTTTCTTATCAGCAGTGACAAGCCTCAGGCTATGAGACACAAAGAACGAAATAAAACTAGAGACTCTGCAATCTCTCTAGAAAAAACTAGAGAGATTGCGAAAGCCTTTTTTATTAAAAAGAATATTGATAGTTGCGTTAGTTCACTGTCTATATCACTGTTAGATTGTGAAATATCGTTTCTGGAGGACACCTGATGATGGTGGAATCTTCTCTCCAGTTTTTTTCCCTTTCTCGTCTTTCTGGTATATAATTTCTTCTCTGAATAAACTGAGTTTCCGTCTGCGCTTGTTTGTCTCTTGTGTCCCATTGGTTTGCGCTTCCAATTACTTCATTATGAATTTGTACTAACTAGCCCGCCTGTCAACCCTTCTGCAATTTACGCAGAGTGAAAGTTCAATGTATGACAACATCTAAAATGACGATATTATCAACAACAGTGCCCTGCTTACCGAGTAATTTAGGTAAATGCACAAGAACATATGCGCTGCAGTAGGACATGCTCAAAATGGTCCCGATGACAACAGACCGACCACCTATGGTTAATCACTAGTAATCGATCTAGCTGCACTAAATGAAGAACCTTCTGTGCATTAAGAGACGCAATAAAATGCTGCATGTTCATTTCTATTAGATTCATGGAAAAAAGAACCACCGGATGTTATTATATGGAATGGCACGAGTGATTCAAAAATTCAATTTTCGCGTAGTTACACTGGACAGGTGGTGCCATCTAGCAGGGCAATAAAAAAACCCAAGAAATTGATCAATGGCTGGTCTGCTGCTACTAGCGCTGTAAAGACGGGCAACATTGTTCACGGCAACAGTGACGCGAGTCAGTCTGGTCGGTCCGCTTCTTGAGGTGGGTGATTTGTAGTGTGCTAACCCGATGCAGCCAGTAAAATGTAATTTTATTTCAAACTAGGCCCTTCCTTGGCACACAGGTACTACTACGAGATTTCTAGACCGCTATTTCAACAATCAACATCGACTTGATAGCTTCCTTTAGTGTCCCTTTAACACTGAGCTCTTGACTCATGCTCGCTCTAAGGAAGTGCAGCACAACAGTGTTCTTTTTCTGCTTGAACCAGAGACAATTAATTGTGGTGCAATTAAGGCACAGTGCAACTGTCAGGTACGACATGTACACCTTATGAAATGCACTTTTCCCTGTAATACTCCTGAGAAGTATCTCTCGCCTCAAGCCCTCATGTCTTAAGCTCCATGTCAAACTTTGATAATTGACTAGGAATGTGTTCCACATCACGAGAAATAGCATGGCCAGTTGCAATAAGCATTCTTTTCGTTACTGCAGCCAACCAGAACGAGCCCCACACTGTGCGCTACTTGAATTAGTACAGTCATATCTCGATAATTCAAACTCAAAGGGGCCCGAAAATTTGTTCCAAATAAAAAAGTTTGAATGAATGAAAACTTAATACATGGAGGGCTCTCCATGCAATGGTGCACGTGCATTGAGCTAACACACGAGGGGGAAGTTTTAGAAGACTTACATTTATTCACAAATCACAGGACATCCGTCAATAATTGAAGTAATTGGTGATGCGCGTCTGCACACGTTTGCCTTGCAGCGAGTCAATCGATTTCGCACGCAGCTTGCAAAGCATTTCTACTTCGACTTCAGCATTCTCCTGACAAGAGAAGTTGCGCGCAGCAATGTCCAGCGCTGACACTCTCTAAAGACGACAACAACGACTGCGTAGCCTTTCCGCTACGCAGCCGCAGCATGGCCAGCACGTGACGAGAAAGAAGAAGCGTCTCCACGCGGAGAGAAGCAGATCGGCATGTGAGAGAAAAC